CTTTAGGCTAAATTTGGTTGGAATTGATAATGATCAAAAAGCGATAGTTATGTTCTAAATAATATTAGTGGATCCTTGGTTGAAATTAATTTAAATTTCTACATACATTAGATAATATGCACAATAACTGTAATAGCTAGAATTATGGCAGTGTCGGATCCAGACTAAGGTTATGTGGCGGATCCAGAGTGGCGTTCTGTAGTTTGCGACCCCTCCCTCCCTTCCCCTTTTGATTTGCTTTTGATAAAAAAAAAATCCATTTTTTTGTTGTTGTGTTTTTCGAAAGAAATGTTTAATGAAAAGCTAATGATAAAGTATGTTGAGATATGGAGAAATTTGGTAGTACAAACAACATGGAACTACCAACAATACCTCTTTACAAACTATAATTTTCAGTTTAGGAGATTTCTTATCCTTACGTTGTCAAACGTTTATCTATATCTTTACTACATCTCTGTATTCCATTGATTTGTTTGATTTTATGTAAATGAAGGATATGGAGATAACGAACAGAATTCAATATCAAAGTCCATAAAACATTAATTTTAAATATTGTACATGTGAAAATATCCTTTTTAACCGTCTCCATTCCAATCCCCTACAATACCTACCAATACAAAACAGGACAGAGCATCTGATCCCACCTTTGATGATTTGACGGTCCCTGTTTGCTCTGCTACTGTTTCGTTTTTTATGGTCTTTAGATCTTGAATACTGTTCGTTATCTCCACATGTCTCAGTTGTCGTAATAATCAAAATTATTTTCTTGAACGTGCTTTGCTAGGTTTGTAAAGAGTACAACTTTCCACACATGTTGGCGGAGAAAGTGACTCAAATTAGAACTTTTTTAACTAACTTTGTTATCACACGGTAATGGAAATTTTCCGGGGACGGGAGAAGAGATGGTATCAAAATATATTGACAATCAAATCATTGCAATATTTGAAGTACAGACAATGCCTTTCTTTTTTAGGAAGATGTGTGGTGAAAGAATATTGTCTTCAAATGAATTACACAAAATTAGAAAAGTGTATATAAATAAGTGCATCATTTATATATGTTATCTGTCTATTCCATCTGTATCCTGTCTTGTGTTTTGTGAATGTATGTTTTGTCATATTATAAATAATAAGATTACACGCAGTACCACATGTATTTTCTCAGAAATGTGTTAATGAAAGACCCCCTGTTTATTTACTCTTTCATCATTTACAAAATAAAGGACATTATTCATTCATACTTATATAAGTATTCTATTTTTGCCTGTTTATATCCGAAATCGAAATCAATCTCCTTGGAAAAGTTAAACAAAGAAACTAAGATTTGTACTCGTGACACCAAGCTTATCTAGATTCCTGTTTTATACAAACCACAAAATGTCTTCATTGTACCCAGAATGAAACACTTCCAACCCACGGTAAAAAAAATACACATCCAAAAACGACTCCATGTTTCCAAGAAAACTTTGAAAGCCGAACTTCAATACACGTTTTTAATCCATATCTAATATTAAAACAATACAAACAGTAACTAACAAACAGTATAGTTTTGAATTTGCTCTTGCTATTTTACATGTCGATTGCTTGTGTCATGTTACACTGGTCATGGTAATATCACATGCTAGAGCTGTATCACTTGGACCTTGTTCCTACTGTTATTATGAGTATTTCAGTGTATGGCAATAGCGAAACCTTCTACAGTTTTTGGTGCAATTAAGCCAATCAACCAAATCTCCACCCCACTATATTTATTTCACAATTTTCAAAAACATACTTAGAAATTGTTATTTTTTTTAACAGATACTTGGAACCAACATCTCTACTTCCTATACAAACGAACGATCAAAAAAGGGGTTTTTCAACGAGTTGTTGTATGTTTCTTAATTTTTTGACAACCGTAGCCTTATCTGTAGTAAGCATGCAGTACGCATTCCATATATAGTAAAAACTTTCACAAAAGAATCAATGGTATTCTCTACATTAAATCAATGGTGCAAAATCATTTTAATAAGTACATATAAATCAAGAGCTTACCAAAATATTAATTTTAATCATTTAAAATCAATGTTTTCATTGATTGATAATTACCTGTATTATAAAATTATAATGCATCCTAACTTGAATTTTGAGAACGTATTTATCGTCACTAACAAGATGTTGCACTCATTAAATGTACCACATGTATTTTCTCAGTAATGTGTTAATGTGTTATTCACTCTTTCATCATTAACAAAATAAATGACATTATTCATTCATTCTTACATAAGTATTCCTTTTTTGCCTGTTTATATCCGAAATCAAAATTAATCTCCTTGGAAAAGTTATACAGACAAAGATTCATAGATATGTACTTGTGATACCAGGCTTATCTAGATTACTGTTTTTATACAAACCACAAAATGTCTTCATTGTACCCAGAAAAAAACATTTCCCAACCCACGGTAAAAAAAAACCCACATCCATAGAATACTGCATATTTCCAAGAAAAATTTGAAAGCCGAACATTAAACTCATTTTTAATCCATATTTAATATATTTTTTTTAAATACAAACAGTATAGTCTTGAGAATTTTCTTGCTTTTTTACAAATATTATTACCTCGGTTACATGTTTATGAAAACTCCTGTGTTATCATTTATAAAATAATTGATTTTATTCATTCTTTTATGTGTTCTATTTTTGCCTTTTTTATCTGGAATGAAATCAATCTCCTTGAAAAAGTTACACAAACAAAGAACCACAGATATGTACGCGTGACACGGGACCTATTTGATTCCTGTTTTCATAAAAACCACAAAATGTCCTCATTGTGTTCAGAAGGAAACACTTTCCTACCGACGGTACAAAATTTAATACGTATTCAAAGAAGACTGACTTCTCCGAGAAAAAAAATGAAAACCGAATGAACTCAGCATATAAGATAAACTACTGATATTGTAGTCTTTAAATTTGTTTTGCTATTTTTATGAATATAGTATTTGACTTTTTCTTAACATTTAATAAAACGAAAATAACTAGCAGAAATATATTTATCCCACGAAGAATTCAGATGTTTGGAGCTCCATGTCTGATCTTCTCCTATTTTGTATTGTTTAATGACTTTTTCATCTTGAATAATGTTCGTTATCTCCATGTATGTTATGATAGTGCCCCAAACACGATACCCATGATCACTAGAAAGATTTTTTTTATCTATAATCACTAATCTACCTCCGTGCATGATAAATGATTAAATGTCACCGTGCTTCTCGCAAATGTGTACTTGTATCATGTTACTCATGACATGAGAATGTCATCATGCTAGGGCTATATCACTCGGACCCTGTTCATACTATTAGTATGAGTATTTTAGTACGTGTATGGGGTATTTCCATTGAAAGAACAATATGGATCACTTCTACAGATTTTTGTTGCAATTAAGACAACCAACTAAATCTCAACCCCCACTTAATTTATTTCCAACTTTATTTTTCAAAAAGATACTTTCAACACATCTTTAAATAAACAAGCGTGCTTGAAAAAATTCTTTTTTTTCAATGGCTTTTTTCCCCAGTAATTTTATTTTTTGTTTATTTTTCTTGGGAGGAATGTTCTATCCTTTGGCAAATGGCGAGTTGCAAAATGTATTATATTTCTTGTAACAATCCCCAAACCCCTTTTTTCTCTGTAAATCAATTGGTAATCTTCTCCTTCTATATTACAACAACACTTCAGGGTGCTGAAGATTACTAGCTGGTAATATATGTGACGGTGGTACATATGTCAAAAGTTTATCAAAATAGTCATTCAAAATCAATGATTGACATTTAAATGCAAGATAGACTGTGATTGAATAATCAAAAATGATTTAGTGTCTTTATAATTTTTTTTAATACTAAAAATTGTGTAACTCTTTTTTATTGATTTTAAATTTAGTGAAATATAAAAGCAAACACAAAACAACATTAATCCTTCTATCAGGGATTTTTTCTTAATATAATTATTGATCAACCTTTTATTTTTTTTTTAAATTGATCTAATGTTAGAATTGAATGCTGTCAACAAATGCAAACATTGCTTATGATTTTTGTTCTATTTTTCTTTTCTACACAAACATTGCATTTGATCTTATATATGAACCTTTTTTTGCTCTGCTATTAATTCGTAAATTGCTCAATGGACTTTAAGATTGAATACTGTTCGTTATCTCCATATCCTTCACACTTAAAGTTTAACATTCCAGCATTTCTATAAGAAGGTAAAATACATAAAACCGAAAAAGATTATACATCTGGACTAAAAATATAAAGCTTTCAAACAAAGAGACTTCTAAGAATTCCATATCTTCTCTTTAGTCAGGGAGGGGGGGGGGGGCTCAGAATTCCTTTTCTAATCAGAGGCAAATTTGATACAACTGTTTGAGGCTGGACTAAAAACAGACATTTGAATTCCGTGAAAATGGGTTCCAGTTCTATTTGCAAGGTTTCTAATACTTTTACTTTTTTGAAAGAGGCAACAGACTCTCTTTAACTGTATAAATATACACACAAAACTGGTGAAATAAAATCATTTATGAATAACCCTGGTAATATGATTAACTGGGATTTTTTTCTTATAAGCTTTTTACGAGGTTGTTGTTTTAAGTAATCATTTAAAATTGTGCAGTTTTGTAACAAGAACAAAAGGTACAAAGAAATCCAGTTTGCACTGTATTTGTTTATTTTGAATAGTGTGAACTTGTGAAAAGCTAATAATTTTTTTTTAAAAAGCACAAGCCTAGAATAGGTGGAACAAAGGCTTGCCTCCTCTCTGAAATTACGACCGTGATCGATTCTTGATAAGCTTATCTGACTTTGACAATTATTCCATGAATATAAAAATTCCAGCTCAGCATTTAAGTGACGTTTAGAGGTTAAAGTCATTGACTTATATAATTGGTCAAATTTTAATCTTCCGTGTTTTGGGATATATATAAAGCTATGGATTTTTTCAAGAAACGATTTATTTCAGAAATACCTTTGTTAAGACAGCAACAAGAAAGTTTAAACATGGCAATGGTGTGGACAGCGATCCTTGCTTGTAGTTTCTTGTGTACAAGTTCTCAGAAAATTTACTCGGAAGAAAACCATCGCTGTGCTAGTGATGGAGAGACAATGATGCAAATACGAGAGGTTCTGATTAAGCAAGAGAGGTTCCAAGAAACTGTAGATTCCCTCAAGAAGATGATGAAAAGACTCGAGGAAAATACAGGCAAGATGATGAGGAGACTCGAGAAAGATGTAACCAAGATCAAGAGTGGTAAATATACCTGTATTTTATCTAAAAAATTTTACTTTGAATTTTTACTTTTTCTCTCTCAATTGATCGATGTTTGTGTATTCATTAATATAATATAATAAGTGTTAATTTTTTTCATTTATATTCAGACATAAAAATATCTGATTGTCAGGATCTATTTTTTACCGGACGCAAACTGTCCGGAGAATATCGTATAGATCCCTTTGGCAACGGGAGCTACGTCACAGTTTACTGTGATATGAAGACTGACGAAGGAGGGTGGACAGTAAGATATCTCTCTCTATGTCTAAAGAAGAATTTTACTCTTAACTTTATAATAATTTAAGTTCATTCTCTCAGTCTCCGTCTTTTTTCTTACTCAATCTTAACTACCTCTTTCTCTCCCCCCCCCTCTCTCTCTCTCAAAATGAGTTTTACTTTTAAATATTTAATAATTTGCATTCAATGCTTCTTCAGATTCCTAGTTTTTCCTTTTTGCTGATTAAGAACTTATATGAATTAGCATGAAATTGGTATTTTATTTTACTACTACTACAAGTAACTAGGTATTTTTATCGTTTTCTGTATGGACGATATGAAGATAACGAACAGTTTCAATATCAAAATCCATAAAACAATACAAAATAGGAGCAGAGCAAACATGGACCTCCGAAACATCAGAGGTGGGATCATATGCCATGGAGTGGTGAGCATACCCTGCTGACCGGTCAAACCCGCCATGTGTTCCCTGTCTTGATCGGGAAACAAAGAAAAAATCCTCTGCCAACCCAGCGCTTAAAACAATGGTCTGTTCTTTAAAAAAAAAAAAAATATATATATATATATGCCTTAAATTTATAATTCTAATAGGGGGCGTAAAACTAGACTGCTTACTTTGCGACTCTAAACCAGACGCTCTAACCACTGCTCCACGTAGGCGACATGTATACTTTGAATGTTTTAAGAAATAATAAGAAAAAGAAATGAACATAAATAATAAATTGAAAAATATTATGATCATTCCATTATTGTGATTATTATTTCATTATATATTATAGGCAATTCAGAAACGCATAAGCCAATCTGTTGGTTTTAACAGGACTTGGGAGGAATATAAAAGAGGATTTGGTAATGTAACAGACTCTTACTGGATAGGTGAATATTTAATAAATAAATTTATCTAATAAATTTTTCAGTATTGCTGTCTTAGTTGAAATAACATTTCTTATCCTATAACTAATCATAAAGATTGCTGAAAAATATACTGTATAAAGGAGTTAATATATAACATCTCGTTGATTCGACTCGTCAGAGCATGCTCTTCATTTTAACAATTTCTAAAACGAGAAGAATTATTGACAAACAAGTAGGAGAAGTTGACGATTCCAAAATCAAAGTCATCACGAGCGTGATTCTTAAATTACCATGAATGTCTTTATAAAATAAAACAAAAATAAAAAATAAGCTCATAGTGACCAGAATTTGTAAAAATGGCTCTTTCATTAACTGTAGCTTAAAGAAGGATGATACATTTAATATAAATAACATTGCAGGCAAGGTATGGGATAAAGTAATATAAGTTTATGCAACAATTAATTTTTGAAGGATATAGTTTCATAATTTCAGCTGTGTTTGCAAAGAAATCATATGGCGCCAACGCGTGTTGCCCAAATTCTTTGCAGACATCGTAACTGTAATTAGACTAACCCTTTCAAAAAATAAAAAAAAAATACCCATTTCTACGTTTCCTTGTTTTATATTTGAATATTTTACTTGAAAAAGACGTTAATGGTAATCTAACAACCCAGCTATATGATAAACGTGATGACTTTAACTTTTCTGTCGGCAACTTCCCTTACTTTTGCAGCAATATACCTTCATTACCTGCATATGCAGTGTATATATGTTAGTTGATTTGATATGTAAGATCATGCTCTACGTATGAATTATTTCTAAACCGAGGTAAATTATTGTGAAGCAAGATGATGAAACAAGAATATCAGCAGTCTCGTTTAAAGTCATCATTTCGTAAGTTCTATGGTCGATACAATGACCTTTAAAGCAAATACAATTTATCATTGAGTCATATGCTGACTGACTTTCCTCATTCTAATTGTTAGTCCATTATTTATACACTGAATTGACGACAGATTTTTCCGTTATTTTTTTTTTCCGATCATGACAAGTGACCGGTCAGCAGGGGATGCTCACTCTTCCATCGCACTTGATCCAACCTCTGACTGTTTTATGGACTTTGATATTGAATACTGTTCGTTGTTTCCATATCCTTCTTATTGCTTACTTGAGTGTGGTAGCTTTCAAAACTCTTTTTAATACAAAAAACATGTGTTGTTTTGTAAATAACTTTGACATAAAAGTCCTTCGGAGATTTACTTATTAACGGTTATCTTTTTTAGGCCTTATTTGACTATTTAAGAGGGTCAGTAATTAAAATTCATTGCATTTATTAGAAGTAAACAGATTCATTGTTATTAAATTATTTGATAATATTATAAGATCAATAATAAAATGATATGAAGTTACATAAAAACAACATTTACATTATATGAGAAAATGAATAATGGTATATTTTTATTGAATAAATGGGTTATATCAATATTTTCAGAAATAAATTAGACTTTATTTATACAAATAAACCATATCATGTACTGATATTAGTTCAACAATATATAATGCCATTTGATGTTATAAAATTCTGTCAGTAATAGTTTATGATGTATGGAGAGCACCATTATGACTAGGATAAAGACATCAATTATGATTAACTTATCCAACTTTATATGTACATGTTAAAACAACATTACAAAGAATTAATATCTTCAAACTTCACTATAAATTTGTCAATAAATAAGATATGATACAGTCGGTGAGGTTTTATTATCATAAGATTCTTCTTTACAATCTTTTACTATAAGATATAACACAGTCAACATCAGCACATCATTAAAACATTACATAACTTATTCAATGAGCTTTTATCATCATGAGAACCCCCTCTATATCTCTACTATACATCACTGTAGGAGACCATGGATTGTACCAGTCTGTCGAGGACCAGGGACCGTTAAGGAAGGCGGCGTGACAGCCTCCTCCCCAGTACGCAGCACAGTTACGGTCACTATATATGTGACTATATCTTCCGTTATCTCTGTCTGGGGTGGAAAAGTACATCCCAGACAGATTATACGGGGACATCCCTGTGTTTAGCATTCGGTCACCTACAATAATCAAGGACAAAATATAAAAACACCATTTATATCAATTCAGATCTTATCTATTTATAAAACTTAGATTTAAAAAGAAAATACATAATATGTTTTAAATAAATTATTATTACAAACCCTATTATTTTACTATTATCAATTTTATTGTTAGCATTAGAAACACGGGTATTCACGCATCTTTTCTAATGATGGTATATAATTGCATTAATTACATTTTTGATATTTTCTTTTCTGCAACTTATTAAAACTAGGATCAAATCTTAAATGAATAAGACTATGGCTTGAGAGTGTAATGTATAGTTTAAAAAACTCTAAAACTTTAAAAATCTCCTCTAGGCAATAAATAACGGATTTTAAAGTATAGATTAAAAAAGAAATCTTTGAAAGCTAGACTAAAATTAAAGTCACATCGAAGGGTTAATCATAAGATAAATAAAACACATCTATCTAAGATTACAGTGGCTGAAAAAAAAATTGTTGATGGCCTAATGACACTTATTTCTATTTGTTTTTCATTTGAATCTTACTCACCCAATGTCCCGGTAGCTGGTCCCCCGAGGAAGAGTCTGTATTTGTCAGATTCACCAGAGACAGAAAATTGATTATAAAGTTCGTATAACGTGGTACCGTTTGTTAATGTAATGGAGACGTAGAGGGAGGAGTTCCTTCCCTTTGTCAGCTGATGAATCACGTCATTTCCTGCAATACATTATTGTTGTAGAACATTCCGCCAAAAAAAAACATGATGAAGAAAAATATATTTTCATTTCAGGGTCATCCTAGTTAAATACAGTCAAATACAATTATATATTTTTGCAGAGATGTTATCAGCAATCCACTTCATTCTGTATCAGTTTTATTTATTAATAGGCGATCTTTAGAATTATCAATGGTACGAGAAATGTTATTCTAACTTAGACAGCATAACATCAATTATTTTATTTATTAATCTTTTTATTAATTAAATAAATGTTATATAAAGATACATTTACTTATCCAGTAAGTATCAGTTGAGAAACAGAAATATTCACCGATCAAGTAAACATCACATGTTAAAGAAATTGTTATAAGATATAAAGAAATATTTACCAATCTTATAAGAGTCACTCAAATTCTATTTATTAAATAACTGTTTATATAATATTAGGAAACATTTACCTATCCAGTATGAGTCAGTTACGTCCCCAAATCCCTTTTTATAGTCCGCCCACGTTCTGTTAAAACCAACAGAACCGCTTGTCCGTTTCTGAATTGCCTACAATACATAATGGAATAATTATCAGAGAAATGGAATGGTAATCATATTTGCATTGTTACTTTTATACTCATATTTTATTATTTCTTAAAACATCTTTATACATAACTTTAACGGAAACTGTGATTACGACATAAATGCCGATTTTGTCATTTTTATAGCAAAATATGCAGGTAGAAAATAACCTTGAATTCTATTAGTTTTAATTTTCTGATGATTTTTGGTCTCTTTGTTTCATATCAAGATTCTCCTTTTCATTACGCTATTCTAAGCTATATTTTGAAAACATATATTGAAATCCATTGTCTATATGGACTTTCTCTTCTATCCTTAAACATGTAAACGTTAAAAATAATCAGGGACTTATAGTTGTAGTTAAAAAATATTAACTGATTCCATTCAAGTTTAAGCCCAGGAAGTAGGGAAAAAAATAGAAATTTGAAAATGTAATGAACTCTTATTATTCTAAATTTAAAAGCAAAATTAAGTTTTATTTAGAGAGAGAGAGTTCTTACTGTCCATCCTCCTCCTTGGACCTCCATATCGCAGTACGCGCGCATCTGATTTTTTAAACCAAGGGGATATATGAGATACACACCAGACTCTTTGTAACCGTTTAGATAGTAATCACGACAGTCCGTATAATGTTCTAATCCTGAATGTGAAAGAAATACATTCATGATTTCAAGTATGTAATTATTATATCAATGAATACCCAAACAAACACAGAGAAAAGAGAGAGAGATGAAAAAGTATTTAAAAGAGATCTAGAGAGAGAGAGAGAGAGAGAGAGAGAGAGAGAGAGAAAGTGAGAGAAATTTACCTCTCTTGATGATTTGGACATCTTCATGGGTCTTGGTTACATCTTCTTTGAGTCTCTTCACCATCTGTCCTATGAATTCTACAGATTTTTTTATCCGCTCCTGTTGGATCAAAAGTTCTCGAATTTCCATCATTGTCTCTCTATTACTGGCACATCGATCATTTTCTTTGGGGTAAATGTACTGGGAACTTGTGCATACAATGGCGGACATAAGGAGCGCTGCCCACACAATTGCCATGGTTTAACTTTTTTGATCTTGTCTTAACGAAAGCTTTTCTGGAATAAGACGTTTCTTGAATATATTTGCAGCTATATATATATATATAAGGCCTTAAACACGGAAGATAAAAATTTAACCAATAAAATAAGTTTATACTTTTTACCCCTAAAAGTCACTTAAATGTTGAGCAATCTTTTTTACATTCAAGGAATAATGGAGGCATCAGCTAAATTTATCAAGCATTGATCATGAGCGTAATATCAGAGAGGAGGGAGCACTGTCCCACCATTTATTCTAGCCATGTTGCTTTTAAACAATCGTTGGTTTTCAAAAAATCACAAAGTAAAATAGATAAATAAATATAGAATACACAATTAATTCCTCAATACCTTTTGTTCTTTTTCTTTACTAATCAATTTTAAGAAATGAATTATAAAGACAAGTCTCATGAAATAAGTTTTGATTGAAAAAAAAATCCTCGTTAATAAAAATACCTGGAATATTCATTTATATTCTGACAGCACTTGTCTGTTTTTGTGGTGTATGTTTTAACTCTATTCTATTTAAAAAACCTAATTTCTCTGATATATTTATAAT